ATTTTCATGGTCCCTGTCCCCCAGCCCTCCTCCAGCTGCCACATCCTCCACAAGAACTTCTCTGTTCACAAACAGGAGGTCCAGCAGGGAGTCTTCCCTGGTCAGTTCACTTACCAGCTGCTTGAGGAAGTTATCCTCCACACATTCTAGGAATCTCCTAGATCGTTCCCTCTCTACTGTGTTGCATTCCCAGCAGATACCTGGGTGGTTAAAGTCTCCCACAAGAACAACGGCAAGCAATCGTGAGATTTCTCCCAATTGCTTATAGAAAGCTTCATGCACCTCACTGCTCTGAATCTGTGATTGGGGGATCCATAGCAGACTCCCACAGCAATATCAGCTTTACTGGCCCTTAACCAAATCCAAACACTCTCGATCCCATCATCAATATACTTGATTTCTGAGCTTTCATAGCATTCCCTAACATACAGAGCCACACCACCACCTCTCGCATTCCCTAACATACAGAGCCACACCACCACCCCCCCTCCCCTGCCTATCCCTCCTAAAGAGCTTGTAGCCATCAGTTGTGGCACTCCAGTCATGTGAGGTATCCCACCACGTTCCTGTTATAGCCACTATATCATAGTTTTCCTGGTGCATCATGGCTTTGAGCTCCCCCTCATGCTGTTGCTCATATGGCACGCATAGAGGTTCTTCAGATGAGCTAATGATTCCAACTCCTTTTTGAGGGTGTGGGCCCTGTTTCCTACCAGACCTTTCTCAGGTGCTTCCGTGCTTTCTAAACATCTATCCGTTCCCTCAGATGAATTGGCAGAACAAAAGTCCTTGCTAGTCCACCATCCTACAAGCCCTGGCATGCTTCTGTTGTGCTTATTCCTAACAGGCCCAGGTATTTCCCCTTGTATATCTCGTTTAAAGCCCTGTCAATAAGCCCTGCTAACTCCTGCCCCAAAACCCTTTTTTCCCCTCTGGGATGGGTACATCCCACCTGCCACCAGCAGGCCAGGTGTCTTTTCTAGCATCCCATGATGCTATAAACAACCCAAAGCCCTGGCAGTAAGACCAGCCCAGGAGCCATGAGTTGACCTGTTGTCTCTTCCTGTCAGTTTCCTCGTTCATTGCCACTGAAGGGATAGAGGAGAGCACAACTTGCGCTCCTGATCCCTTAAGCAGCTTTCTCAAGGCTCTAAAATCCCTTTTTATTGATTTTGGGCTCTTTCTACCCACTTCGTCACTACCCATCTGAAATAGTAGAAGGGGGTAATAATAGAGGGGTTTACTAGAGTGGGAGGTTTCTCCAGCAACATCCTTAACCTGTGTCCCAGGGAGGCAGCAGACTTCCCTGTGAAGTGGGTCAGGATGGAATACTGGTCCCTCTGCCCACCTCAATAGAGAGTCGCCCTCAACAATGACCCATCTGCTTTTCTTTTTGGAGCCAGTTTTGATGCTGAGTCTACGGCAACTCAGTCTTTCTGGCACTTCTGACCCACGTGAATCGTCCTCTCCAACAGTTGGTCCCTCCTGCAGGACTCCCTAACTGTTCTGCAAGG